TAGACAGTTCATGGCCCCGGGCGAGGAAGATTCGATATCGCCTGAGATGCGCCGGCGCATCTGGTGGAGTCTGTTCTGTCTGGATTCGTGGGCTTCGACTACGACAGGACGGCCTTCACTGGGAAGAATGGGGCCGTCAATCACTGTTTTGAGACCTGGCACGGCTGTGAACGCTGTAAGACTTACTGAAGCATGATTCAAAGCGCAATACTGACGTCACGACAGCCTCAGTGTATTCCACCACCCAATAGCCCTCAGTACATCGAGCAGCTCAAGATCCTTCCTCTGGTTCACGCCTCAGCATTCTGTCAGATCGCTACGAGGATACAGGACCGACTTGTCGAGTCGCCACTCCTTTCCTCTGCAGAGACAGCCAGCTACGACGCGCAGGTTGTAAAGTGGCACGAAGAGCTACCATCAATCCTTTCCAACCCCGATGAGCCGTGTCCAGAGTTTCTCCGCCGAACGCGCTTGGTCATGAAGTGGAGGTTTCAGAACATCCGCATCATTCTCCACCGCCCCATCTTGCTCACTGCCGCACTCCGACGCTCCCCATGGGTCGCTTTGAGCGCAGATGAAAAAGTCGCAGTAGGCAAATGCCGACTCATCGCCTCCAAGACCATCGAAGAAATCAGCCAGGAATGCATGCCCGACCTCATCTCCGGTTGGAACGCTGTATGGTTCTGTTTCCAAGCGTGCATGGTCCCACTCGTCTCCCTCTTCAGCGACACGAGCATACCAGAAGAAGTCGAAAAATGGAAGACCAGTATCGAAACAGCACTCACGTTCTTCGAAACAGTCAAAGATTGGAGTATCGCAGCGAAGAGAAGTGGAGATGCAGTCACTCGCCTCTACGCAGCATACAAAACGAACGTCTCTACACTATCACACCAAACCCAGCCAACCATGCCACACATCCCGCACCCCCAGCAATACCACCCACAACAACCTCATCCCCACAGCCAAACGCACACCCACTTTGCCATCCCCGGTACCTCGACCGCACCTCCCATGCTCAACACCCACGCCGCCGCCTACACACCACAGCACCCATCGATGCCACAGCCCCAACAACAACATCCCTCTTCCTTCGGCCATCACTACAACCCCGCAACACCCACCTGGACCAGCGCCAGCAACGATCCCACTATCCTGAACAACTTCTGGGACGACATGATGTGGGATACAAATTTACCGGATATGCTAGAGACACCATTTGGACTGGGGAACGAATATGAGTTTGGTGGTGCGGCGCAGGATTCTGGGGCGCAGGGCGCGTGTTGGATGCATGGGAACTAATTGAAAAGCTGGGGAGCGTTGACGTGACGCTCCTGTATCGTGGAATACACTACACGCACAATGTTGGGGCTCTACGCATCACTGGAACGCAGATCCGATATGCAAATGCCTAGGACGACTCCACCCACCGACAACGGCCGAGAGCGGCCCAGTCGCTCGCATACCCACCCTCCTATCTCCCCTCCATGCCCCTCGATTCCCGGCATACGGAGCCTGCACGTTGTCTACAGCCGTAGCACAAGCTGCAGCAAGCAATATACAACAGCCGGCACCGGCACCCGTAGACGCGGAGTATACGCGACATGGATGCTGAGGCACCCTTGTTCCTTCGTCTCGTGTATATTCACATGGTAAATTCGTGCTTCCGCGCGCGTCTCGGGACTTCGGGAGAAATGGATGATTAACGCGGACAGCGGGTTGGAAAGGGATCGGCAGTAGGTGTGTGGAAAGGGCTTCTGGAATTACTCTGCCGAAGCCGCAGCTTTGCGTTTGTTGATCTTGTTGATCTTTATATGAACGGGTTGGGGCAAAGTGAGGCTGGCTGGTATCTTTGGGGTAGAGTGTTGAGGGCAGCGCTGCATGTCTCCATTTCCTCTCACATCTTCACGCATCAACATCTTTCTATCCTTTTTCCGCATACATCCCTCCTCCCCTCACCTCCCTTACCCGTCTCTTTACCCCTTCGCCATTCCATCACCAAGTACCGCACACACGGTTAGACATCCTCCACCTTCCCGCAATCCTTTTCACACTTTGTTATAGACCAGGGGGGTGAGCATTATGATACCCCGGATTCTGGTGGTGGCTAAATAGCTAGTGGAGATGCAGATGCGTAGTTGATCGCACGCATGCATGCACACACGTTGGATGTAGTTAGATATAGACTTGAACACGTACATTGCTGTTTGCCGGATGCAGAGAGGGAGTGCTTGAGAGCGTTGTTGAGGTGATGTCTGAGGGTCTTAGTAGATGAGATATAGGGGGCTGTTACGAGGTGGGGTGACTTACTCCACCTTTTTGGGGTGGATGGGCTTGTTTAGGCTAAGAGGGTGCGTGATGGTCGGAGTGGTCACTTGGAACAACTACTTCTACTGCAATGCTACGGCTGGTGAATTGAGATGGAATTTCGAACATGAGGATATGTCAATAATCTCCATAACGCGACTCACCAAGTCCACCACAACCGCAACACACCACAATCTTCACTTCACCACCAAGCCCACAGCAGTCACAGTTCCTGACCATCTTGGCAGCGACACCAATTGCTTAACCGACCTGTATGCTCATCGGTGAGGATGCGCAAGTCGTGCTGATATGCTGTGTGAGCTGGTGAGGTATATGCAGGGTTCACGATCCATCCATAGATGTTGAATGTGCAAGTGAGAAACGTGACGCACGTGGTCGTGTTCAACGTGGCAGGCCAGCCGAGGTGAGCGGGGCGCCGATGACGGAATGGGTGCGTCTCTTATCGATAAGACACCTTGAGATCTTGTCTTGGAACGCTGCTGCGTGTGCGGGCTGGGCGCGATAGACTCCGCGCGCTAGACTATGGAAGCATGCTTGGTAGGCGGTAGTACTTTGTACCGTGGTACGGGTGCATGGTGACAGATGATAGACGGGCCCTGGAAGTTGGGTTTGTAGTTGCCTCGGGATGGTCTGTCTAGATACCGCAATACCTTGAGACGCACGTTCGCAAACAAAGGAGTCGGGACGATTAAACAAAGTTCACCTATCACCACGCCGCGCATCTCCCCCACGTGTACGCTGGAAGCTTGGCCACAAGCGGTCGATCGCGACTATGGCGCTTGGCTGGCTTGCTTCACCGGACCTATTTCACCGCCGCCATCACTGGCATCTGTGAAAGGAGCGCGCAATTGCTTCAGTTCCCACCTGCACCCTTTCCCATCAGTGTGCGAAATCGATAAACCACCGCAACAATGTCAGAACCCGATCTGCACCGCGCTATATCCATGAAACCGCACCCGTTCCACACGCACCCGGATCGCATAGAACGCACATCAAGTCCCCACCACGCGCACCTCAGCGCCAGCAGCAGTAACAATAGCCCCAGCGCGCAACATGCTCACAGCCATGCCGACGCTTCAACTCCGCGCAAGAACGACGCCAGCAGCACTGCCATCGAAACCAGCGCCCCAACACCGTCCCACGACCCCATAGCCCGCCACATCCGCCACCACCCCGACGTCTCAGACCTAGAATCGCAATCACCCCCCTCCTACACCCCCGACAACGACCCTTACTCCCTCTCCTCCGCCATAAAACCCGAATCCGAACTCGCCCTCATCCGCGCCAACACCTCGCGCAAACGCGACGGCTGCGGTCCCATCACCCTCAACAAGGCCGCGACGTCAGCGAAGAAGCTCGAGGAGTTTTACTCTGCCCAAAATGAGAATATAGAGAGGTTGCTTAAGCCCGTGGCGGAGCATAGGGCTGCGGCGAAGGACGAGGATACGGCGAATCATCTCAAGTATAAGATTGCGGTTATTGGGAGTTTTGCGGCGAATATTATACTGGCTGTGTTGCAGCTTTATGCGGCGGTTAGTTCGAGGAGTTTGAGTTTGTTTACGACGATGGCGGATTCGTTGTTTGATCCGTTGAGCAATCTTACACTGATTATGTGTAATCGCGCTGTTGCTAGGGTTGATGCGAGGAAATTTCCGAGTGGCAAGGCGAGGATCGAAACGGCGGGCAATCTTTCTTTCTGTGCGCTTATGATTACCGTTTCGGTGGTCATCATCGTCGAGTCTATCCGCACAGTCGCCGAACATAACGGTCCTGAGACGAACGATTTCTTCCTTCCGTCTGTCATCGCCGTCAGTATAGCATTCGCGACAAAGTTCTCGCTATTCCTGTACTGTTGGGCGTTGAGGAACAAATACTCTCAAGTCCGCATTCTGTGGGAGGACCACAGGAACGATCTCTTCATCAACGGATTCGGTGTCTTGACGAGTGTCGGTGGATCGAAGTTGAAATGGTGGTTGGACCCCATGGGCGCGATGATACTTTCTGTTCTCATCATCTTCCTTTGGTCGAGGACGGCGTACTCGGAGTTTCAGCTCCTCATTGGTGTTACGGCTGATACTGCTATGCTGCAGCATATCACGTATATCTGTAAGTCTTCTAGTGCGGGCAGTGAGCGGAGGTCTCCTCCATCTTTCACCCCACCTCCCCATACACGGTCCTTCCAAATTCCGCCTTCAGATCCAGTTACTAACATATCTCAGCGATGACACACTCCCCCACCATCCTTCAAATCGACACCGTACGCGCCTATCACTCCGGCCCCCGCCTCATCGTCGAAGTCGATATCGTCATGGACCCCGAAGCTACGCTACGTGCTACACATGATGTCGCCGAGGAACTTCAGATTAAGCTGGAGAGTCTACCTGACGTGGAGAGGGCGTATGTGCATGTGGATTACGAGACAGATCACCGACCTGAGCACTTCTTGAAGAAAGAGTTGTAGTAGCAGAGAGGCTCAGAGGGAAAGAGGGCACGGCCTCGTTCGAAAGCCTTGATTCGACAATCTGAAGTCATATAGAAGTCTCCGTCTGTTAGGGCACTGGATCTCCTGCAGAGATAATGATCAACAATAACACGCTACAACCATTTGCCGAAAGACAATACATCTGTCCGGCATATCTTCGCTGGCACTGAAAAGCGCTCTCTAATCCACCATTTCACTTCCCCTTCCTCCGATACGGACTCGCCATCCCTCCCTTCAGCCTCCCACCCTGCACATTCCACTCAGCCGAACTCGCCGCTCCAGCCCTGTCCTCAGTAAGATCATAGTCGCCAAAGTTTCTTTCTTTGAAATCATTCCAGCGCTCGCGAAGCGTTTTCTTCTTGCGGTCTGCTCGTCGCTGAGCGTCTAAATCGGTATATTCGGAACCGAGGACTGCTGCGATGGTACTTGCGGGTGCGCCGCTGCTGTGTCGTTGGTTTGTGGGTGCGGGGCGTGATGTAGGCTGCTTTTGCGGGTCTGTAGAAGAAGTGGAGGGGTTGGTAGGGTATTTTGGTGGCTGGGCTGATGGCTCGGCGTCGTAGTAGATGGGTGGTGTATCGTTGGGGTCGATGTTGTTTCTGTTGACGTTGGCGTTGGATTTGGCATCAGTCGAATCCGACTTTTCGATGCCCTGGGTGTAATCCGATTTCGCGCCCATGTTGTGCCTAGCGAGAGTGTCGCAAGTGGCTGATAAGTTCGCAGCGTTGTGGATATAATGGCAGTAGCTTTGTGCATAACAATGGTCAAACCAGTGGGACCAACATCGCCAATGCTTGGTTGACGTAGGGTGGGGTGACCAATTTGGTACGAGCTCCTCCGTACTTTACGCCCGGGTGGCACAGCATGGTCAAAACTTCCAAAATAAGAGACATAATGTGCCGTAACTCCGACGTGGCGCTTAGATAATCTAAGCGATTTACTCGACTTATCGGTTTAGTATCAATACTACTATTTTGTTTCTACAAATGCTACTGGCTACAGCGTCGCTTCTACAACCAGTCGTTATAGTAGGATTCCTATAACCAAGGTAGCCGTCAGCACTACATACAAGGCCTCCAAATGATCCTTCATAAACAGATTGATCCCACCAATCATCGGGATAGAGCACTTCACCAGACCCACCACTTCCTCGCGATGAACCCATTCGCGCCCATCGGGATACATGCCAACGTCGTCAACGGCATTGTTGTCACCTTTCGTCAGCACGAGTTGCCTACGCACTTTTACGTCAGCCTTTTCTAGATGAAAGAGACTTATTCAACTTTGATTCGCAAACGTGCCTTGTTTGTATGGTCATTTCATTGCTACTCTCATCCAAATGAACGCTCTGATGGTGCTCGATCTTAATTGCACGATGCACCATCGGCTCTTTTCTCCCGCTGAACCACACCACAGGTATATCGCCAACTCGGATCGTCTCCTGTCTATTCCATAGGAAGATGATATCGCCTCGATAGAAAGTCGGCTCCATGGATTGTGAGGATACCACGAGGATTGGATGCGTGGAGTTTGTGACGATGCAGAGACTGAGATATGATGTGATGAGTGTTCCCACCATCCAAACGATGGGAGCAATACTGGTGATTCGAGAGATCGAAGGCCATGGTGAATGCATGTTGAAATGATCCAGGTAGTATATAGCAGCAGCTGTGAGAGCGGATGAATGAGCGATTGTATTTAAGAAGAGTACAGTAGTGCTGGCCGACTGAACGAAGTAACTAAGTATAATCGTCAGCGAAGGACACTGGCATCCCCTTGTTCGCGATTCAACGTATCTTGGCAAGCTGGGAAAGCTTCCAGTCGTCACGGATACAATGACGAGGAAGGCGAAAGCATGGTGAAAAAGGATTCCTCGGCCACCTCATAGACTTAGAAGGTTGCCTTGAGCTACTCACACGAAACAGGCAGGTCGTATCTTGGCCGTAGAATTGTTGAGGCCGTGTTTCCGTGAGAAGAATGGATAGAATAGGAAGGACGAGAGGGATAAGAAGCTTGAGGTGTGTGAGAAGAATTGGAAGGATGAGAAGGATGTTGGGATCGGACCGTAGCGACCACCTTCTTGAGACGGGGCGTATGTCAGAAGGATTGTTGCCCTGTATATATCGAGTTGTTGTTGCATGCAACATTACGTATGGATAAGATGTATAGGTGCAGGGCCCGTGTATCCTGCTTGTGATTAGATGGGTTAAATTTGTGTACGGCTTGGAGTCGAAACGCCTTGCCGAGCCTATGTTCAGGCAAAATTGAAGATGCCGGATAGGAAGGATCATGTTGGTGTGAAGTTACGAGAGACATTGAAAACAATCCATCTTGGCTTACTTGGGATCGAAAGAAAGGCCCCCCATTTCTTTCTATAAGAATGATCATCGGTATCATACTGTTGCTCTACATCCCCACTCCCACTCTTTCAACCAGACAATTCAATCCCTCAAGCATAATGCATACCAAATTACTTCTCACGGGCACCGCTCTAGCAGCGCTGTCCACGATCCCTTCTTGCCCAGCACCAATGGCCGGTGCAATCGTATCCGGAGTGATTGGTGCCGTCGCTGCTCCACTTGCTGGCGGTATCGTTGCAGTGGGTCTCGGTGCCGGGGGCGTTTTCGATGTGCCTCAGTGCTGCGCCCGCAAATTCACACGATCTAGCAAACGGACCGATCCTATCGAGATAGCTACTCGTCAGTCTGAAGACTGGCCTCCAGGTGTCTCTGAAGAATCTATCGAGCAGTGCAGGGTCACTAATGAGGGCCGACAAGTCACGCTCACAAGGACGGGCGAGTACTGTATGTTGCTCTCAAATTAACTCAGAATGTTGGGTGCTAACGATCGTGACTTGTAGCTATGCGCATTGAAGGGCTAGCGCCAGAGTGCATGAACTTTGCGGCATTGTTCACTGATGAAGGAAGCCCTATCCCTTGCGGAACGTCTTGCCTGGACTACGTGGACTTGCCTCAGGACCAAATGGTCAACTTGGTCAATCTTGCAAATGGTCTTCTCTGAAGATATGTCATTGGAAGGCTCCCCGCTCTTGGTGTCCGAGTTGCAAACTACCGTCACGGAAGATTAGCAGAGTACTGGAGATGTACTTTGATGGGTTTATTCAAAAGCACAAGAATGTCACGTTCGCTAGCATTTCGCGTCAACAGTCACTCTTTCATATATTTTCGATTGAAGTGTGATAGCTCAGCATGGTGCCCAGCTGGTCGATGTTTGTATGAACATTCGTCTGGGATAGTACATATCTCTTTATAAGCAAATAGAAACATGCGTTCTGAATTATCCCGGAAGTTCCGGATTAAAGTGATCATGAGAGCCACAGGCTTCGGGGCGACCAAGCATACAAGGCTTACATATGTATTGGAGCGGATATATAGAACAAAAGGACGCGTGCGCAAAGACGCGCTAATCTCAACGGAAGACTTGGTAGCCGAACTTCCTTAATTGGCTTTGAATGCCATGCACGCTGGAGGCCGTGCTCGGCGTAGGATATATAATTGGCGTAGCCTGCCCAACATGTCTTGGTTCTCATCTGTACGTCGACCGCTCACTCTCAAACTCTCCTCATCACGAAAATGTTACCACTGGCGGCCTCTATCCCGATCTTGACTTTCTGTGTCTCAACAGCAACATTCCTATTCGCTATTCAATCACCCAGGAAGATGCGCCTCTACCTATCGCCTCTGTTAATGGGAAGTGCAATCATCTCTCTTTGCACATGCTCAAACCTACCAGAGTTCCAAGGTATTCCAGCACTATGGGGCCTGTTCCAATGCATCTGGATGCACGATGCTATGTCGCTGTTATTCTTCGAGAGTTTTGAGCTGCCTTTAGGCACAACGAAAGAGCGCTGGATCTACGCTTATAAGAGCTGGTGCGATCCTCAGCGGCGTGTAGACTGGGTCACACTGCCACACAGCATGAAAGATGAAAACGTACTACCTTCACAGCGAGTAAGGTTCGCGGGTAATCGGCTGGCCAAGTCGATGTTCTGCTGGATCTTACATTGGTATGCCGTAGCAGCGATACCGGGCCATTTCCGATTGATCTCTAAAGACTTTGCGCCTGAGCGAGAAGGCTACATCAAACGACTCTTGTTTCAACATCCAGGGCCGCCGATCACGGCCAGAGAGACCGAGATTCGTATCTTCGTGTCGTACTATTGGATCTGGATATCGTATCTCATGCTAGATACGTGCCATGTCGTCCTTTCCATCTTCTTTGTTGCAGTCCTCCGCATCGATGGGCCACAAGAGTGGCGACCGCTGTTTGGCTCTCCGTTAGAAGCCTACAGTATTGGGCGGTTTTGGTCACGGTTCTGGCACAGACTCACCACGCCCGCGTGCATCGCCTCTGGACATCAAATTACTAGAAATTTGTTAAGCATGAGAGCCGGCTCGCGGAGCGAAAAGATTCTAGTCGCTTTCTGGACTTTTCTAGTCTCTGGAATATTCCATGCGATTTCAGACTGGCAAGCTGGAGATACTACTAATCCTTCGAAGGACATCAAGTTCTTTCTGACAAGCTTCGTCTTTGTCATGGTGGAGTTACAAGTTGCGAAGCTATCTAAAGGGCTGTTGTCGATCCATGGTAGCTATGGCCGCATGTTTCGCTCTGCCGTTGTGGCGAGACTGGCAGGATACGCATGGGTACTGTGCTTTTTCTTTTGGATTTCGCCTAAATGGCAGTATGCTAAGCTTTACCGAGCCGTGAAGGATGCAGAGTACCTTGCTTTGTTGAAGGCGTTAGGATTGTAGTAACGTGTGCACCAACCTTCACGTACTATATGTATAATCTGTATACGGTTCTTATAAACGAGGTGCTATTTTGGTAGCTTGTACCAATTCCAGCTCGGATTACAGATATCTCCATCTTGTTTTGACCCGAGCATGTTGACTACCTAAACTAACCGGTGACAGAGGAAGACGGCGTACCCTTACCAGCCAACCTCTTACTCCTCCTCATCCCTCCCACTGACCCATCTTCTACCTCCTCTACCACTCCCCTCTCCGCAACACAATTCGGCGCATCCTCCCTCCTAAACTCCCTACTCCCAGACACAGGCTGTGCATTAAAACTCGCAGTCCTCCCCTCCCCCCACGGCCCATTCTCAAACGTAGAACTCTGCCTCCGATACTTCGCATTATTACCAATAAGCGCATCAACCGCCTCCTCATCCATACACACATCATCCATGCCCTCAATGGAAAACTCATCGAGATCTAAATTAGACCAAGAAGGATCGTTGTTAGCGGGGAAGAAGGCGCTGAGACTTTGTTTACGGTCGTCGAAGGGGACGGCGGGGGCGTAGTTGGACATGAAGTCGTTGGATGAAGGAGGAGGGGCGGTGGCTTGGGTTTGGGCTTGAGCTTGAATGGGGAGGTCGGCGGGCTCGGAGTAGTTGATGCGTTGTTTCTTGCGAAGACCTGCGCGGGAACCTTGACGGGGTTTTGTGCCGTTGATGAGTTTCTCAAAGGAGTCTGAGTCCTCGGAGTCGGATAGGGCGGTTATACGTCCTGTAGACCGTGCCGTGGACGTCCGTTTGAGCGCCGGACGCTCGTCATCAGAAGAGTCGCTATCGTTAGCTTCCTGCTTCTTAGACCGCGAACGCTTCCGCGAAGGAGTCTGTCGTTCATCATCCGAGTCCGCAAAAGTAATAGTCCGACGCGGTGTTTTGCGCTTACCACCAATACCTGCCTCGTCTTCTTTGATGAACTCATCGCGCTTCTTCTCCATTTCCGCAATGCGCTGGTTGATCTCCGGATGAAGGAGGTCGTAGTAGGCTGAGTAGTCGAACTCCTTCTTCGATCCTTCTCGTTTGTAGTCAATGTATACATCCATTTTCTCGATCTTCTTGTCAACAAGCTTAACCTCCATGTCACCGCGGTGAACGGGGAAAGAACCGGGGCGGATCTTACGTTGGAGGATGAACTGTTTCATCTGCGACTTCGCGCGGTGCTTCATGTTCATGCCGTAGAGTGCGTAGATAAGCGTACGTTCGTGAGGCTTAGGATGACCGCCCTTGTAGTGTTCATGGACGGGGTAGTCAGAGAACTCGTGGGTATCACCTAATCGGCCTTTGCTAGCAGCTTCAATGAACTTGCTAGCCAACGCCGCTTCGTAATGATGTTTCGAGCCGAACGCGGATGCGAAATGACCTTTCGGCTCTTTCTCCATGCCTACACGCTGATCAACCTTGACGTTAGCTACCTGGCAGATGTAGGCAAAGTCTAGGAAGCGCTCCATACAGTATAGATGAGCGAAGCCAACACAGTCGTACGGATCAACCACGCCGGTACCGTAAGTCCGATGCTTTTCATCGAATGCGACGCGGTAGTTGCCGACTTCCGCTGTGCCTTTGCCGGTGTACACACGCATTGGGCATGCGTCGAAGCGACAGTGGCTGTGAGATGCAGAAGCATAGCGACGGGCGGAGTCTGAAGCTACAGGCTGGATCCAAATGCGCAGATTGTCGCCGGGATACTGGGTGATGTACTCATGAATCTCGCGGGCAGTCATGGTACGCTTCTTGAATTCGTGCATGCCGTTGTTTTGACTGTACTCAAACTTAAACCCCGATGATGATGACCAGTTGCCGTGAGGAAGAGGCTTGGTCTTGTACTTGCGGCCTTCTTCTGCGTGTTGATTGATGCGAGCGGTGCGTGTGGTTTCGCCCCTAGTTGTGTTGTTAACGCGAACCCAGGGCTTGTCGTCGCATTTCTTTGGCTTTTCTCCTGCGCGCACGACAGCTACTTTGACCGGTTTGCTAACCGAGCTCGCGCATGAAACGTTAGAATCGTGACGGGTATCCACTGATGATCGGGTTCGATGTGTGAGCTGCCTGGGAGGTTGCTTGGCGACATAAGCGTCATCATCAGATCCGAAGCCAGATTGAGTACGTTTACGTTTGGGTAATTGCGGTGCAGGGCGACTGGATTGGCGAGAGCTTGAAGGAAAGGTTTTGTTGAATTGGTGTGATCCAGTATACTGTTCGGAAGGCATCGCCACGTATCCAGTGTGCTGTTGCGGATACGGCTGTTGTGTTGGTTGGTAGTACGGCTGAACTGGGTAAATCGAAGTGAATGGATCAGGATATGCCTGTGAAGGCTGGGCAGCAACAGGGTACTGCGACATGTCCGGCATGAACGTGTTACCACCTGGAAATGCTGAGAAGCCGGGAGTGGTGTCTAAGAACTGAGATGGCATCTGGAAGTTAGTATCCCAAAGACCAAGATCCTGCGAGAAGTCATAGGTAGGGTCAGTAGGCTGGTAGCCATGCGGCTCTACGGGAACCAAATCAGTCGACACTTGTCCAACCTCATTCTGGTTGACCAACTGGTGTAACTGATCATTGGTATTATCTTGCACAGGCGCAGATACAAATCCTTGACCAGTGTGGTTTTCTTGAGAGGGGTCACTGAGTTGGAATGCGACTGCGTTGACCCCGTTCAAAGCCTCCTCATCCATGGGCACATCGAGGCCATTATTAGGTATCCAGTCGAGCGCGTCTAGACCAAATATATCATCGTTGCAATCTTCGTTGAGATTGAATTGCGTTAAGTCAAACTCGCCGAGAAGGCAAGGATCGATTGTACTGGGTAGACCAAGCACAGCGCCGGAGCCGGTTCCTGATATAGTATGAGCAGGACCTGTTCGTAGATGAGTATCTGTTATCGAATCGGGTTGACGAGCGTGAAGCGTTGGTAGTCCTGAATGTAAGTCGTATTGGGTGTATGTGTTTGCGGGTTGATCCTTGTGTGACCTCGGAGAGATTGGCGAGATGCGTGAAACAGAAGATGGATACATAGCTTGAGCGATCTGATAGGTTCACGGCGTACGGGACGCACAGATAACACGGCTCACATCGTATATATATGAGAGCTCACGAGATTCTTTCATCGAGTCTTGTGAGGTTACAGATTTGAATTGGACAAAGGAATGTCGAGTGTAAGTATACTATGGTGTGCATCATTGTGCTGAGCTACAAAGCGGTCTTGAAAGGG